TTAGGTAATAAAACTTTATTTTCATTGTTATCTTTAAAACAAGCTTTGTCCTGCTGCAGCCTGTGGATTTCAGTTAGCAGATGATAACTGCAGTGGAAGGCCTTATCCAGCCCAAACCATTCTACTGGTTCATTCACTGGTTTTGGATGGCATTTTTGGATTTAGGGAAGCAACTATGGAGAAAGGCGTTGTCAGGGTAGAAGGGGGTGAGGGCGCAGAATCATGGTCAGGAGGGCCAGTAGGTTAGACCGCAGCCGCCATGAGCTGCAGATGAAGGACAGCCAGGAGCAGAAGATACCTAGTGGCAGTGGCTAGGTTCAGACAAGAGCCCTGAACAGGAGACGCCTTCTGGTGAAGTGGCAGGCCTAAGAAACTGAAGTCAACAAGTCAGCAACGTGCTGATGATCCCAGGACCAGATACAGCCCCAGCGATCTATAGATGACTGCATAGTTACGAGGCTGTTCTGAACCACAGCTGCAAGGTTAAAACTTGCTAGTGAAGAGAGCTAGTGGGATCAGCTTATCCTGGACTGAGGACAACAGCTGAGAACATCACCATGCCATCAGGAATGAAGGTGGAAGGGGGAATCCCCTGTGTGGCTTCTCACAACAGATCAGATCTCAGAGGCTCTCCTCTGATGGGTGCCTGCAGTGCCTGCACCCATCAACCATGTTGGCCCTGAGCCCAGGACATATTATGTGCTCAGAGCCCTGACTGAGAATGTTTGGAAACAGTAATAGCTAACAGACTTTGACCCCACTTGCCTTTGAAATGCAAAGCAGGCACTTCATCCCTCAGTTTCTCCATAATTTCATAACACTTTGAAATGTAAGGGGCTTTCATATTCATGTAATTGAGACCTACTGAGTGTGACAAAATATTCGTGCAATATTTCTAAAGCCACAAAAAAGATGCTTAAATGCCTCTGGAAATCACAGTCAAAGATAGGAGGAGGGGTATAGGGAGGGGAGTAGGACCCAACTTATTCTATCACTCACTCATTCCTTAAAGTGAGACAAAAACACTATGTTCACAACGTACTGAGTTGTACTATATTTACACACAAAATTTTACTTACATAGAGGAGAGTAATGAATACTTCGAAGCCAATTCCTACAGCATGTTGTCCTCCTCTTTTAGAAGGAAGTATTTTAGTAATTGGTAGAGAGAACAAATGTTGAGCTGCTGCTTGCCAGGTTTCATGAATTTGTGCAGAGACTAACTCATTACACAAATATCCTTGTGTTATTTTTCGTCTCTAGACAAGGAAAAGCTAGATATCAGGCCTAAAACTACAGCTAAACAAGCTGAAAAGGTCTGACCACTTAAAGCCAAACTGAGGTTTGGGACTGTTTAAAATAACTGGGCAGATTGGATAGGGTGAAGGCTGGCAAAGTTTGTTTTCCTAGCTTGATTTCCAGGACTGACTTTCACACAAAAGCAACACAAGTAGATATTTCTACTCTGGGCTTGCTCTGCCTCCTTTTATGCACATTCAGCAGAGCAAGGAATTCTTGGACTCTGGGCTCAAGCAGTGGCCTGTGGCTCCCAGGGGGCTGAAGAATGAGTCCCACAACTCAAGTTCTGAACAAGCTGAAGACTGGCTGAGGATACAGTGCATGCAAAGACATTTTGCTTTATTTCCCCTTCCACAGAGATCATGAGTGATGTTTAAGGCTGGAAGAAGTCAATCAAAAACGATTATTTTTTTGTGTATGTCAGAACTCGGACCTTCATCTGGAAGGGCCTTGTGTTTTAGAATATTAGTAGTTTGAACAGTCTTTCAAAAAAGATTGTTAGCTCTGCTCCAAAGGTTTTAAGGGGAGCTGGAAACAATTCCTAAATGTAACAAGAATTTTTGCATTCCTGGTTGGAAAACTCTTTCACGTAGTTGATTGCCAGCTCTTGGGTGCCTAAAATGAGGCCTCAATCAAAAATGTGTGAAGTGTTCCCCTGCCTATTGGAGGCGTATGCTACTGCTTCTCAGAGAGGAGGGAAGCTCAAGCCTTCAGTGCTTTGCAGAGCAGAAGTTACCTCACTTACAGCACCAATAAAGGTAAAATAAGCTGATCAAACATTTCAGTTTTGGAAGTTTTGAAGATATTTTCTGAAATTTAATGGAAAAACCCTCAGATGAGGGCTACTCTGTCTTCTTCAGTACTGACCTCCGAATTCCCACCCTAGAAAGACTTTATTTTGGAGCATAGTCCTGATTTTTAGCAAGAGCTACATTTAGGATATTTCCTATTCACCTGGAAAGAACATACACCAAGGAGCAACTCTGGTCTTAACTCAGGGTGTGACCTTACAGTAGAAAAGCTTCTACTTGTCAATATTTAATTTAACATTTACTAAATGGCGGGTGGACGCCAGGCTGACCTCATTGGAAATAACTTGGCAAAGATTTAACTAGCTTTCATTTGCATGGAAGGTAATGCTGGAAATAACCCTAATGTAACAATAACATTAAACCCACAGTTCATTAGATTTTTTTCCTAAATGATGCCATAAGAGATCTGCATGTGTGAATAAGAGAAAACTGTTAAAACAATGCTAATGACCAACACAGCAAAAGGAAATTATTAACCCCATTTTCCTTCAAAGAACTGAGAAATTGCTGTAGCTGATCCAAGTCAGTAATATGGAATGATTAGTTCAGAATTTTTCAAAATACTCTGTACGTTTATGTATTTATTGTTGATTTGTTGTTCTTGCAGTTGCTGTTGTTTAGCTACACTGTGTTCTATTCTTTAACACATCAAGGAGTTTTTGAAGAACAGAAATCTGAGCATAGGTTTGGTTTCCTAATTTGAGACTGAATTTGTGAATAGGCTCACCTGCATGGAAATGAATCACATTTTTAAGTGTGAACAAGTATTCACATGCAGCTACAAATATGGTATATTCTCTATTTATTTATTTTTGACATTTCTATTTCTAAGTTCATAAAATTGAAAAAATTCTTTTTGAATGTGAAATTAAATTTCACTGACTTCTCCCAGAATATTCAGTTGGTGAGCTTCTCACTTAAGCTTGCTTGTAAAGATGTCCTTTTTTTTTTTTTTTTGTTTTGTTTTGTTTATAATTTCAATTTAAAACTAGCATGCTTATTTCTTGTGTGCTATCTAACAAAGGAATTCTTCTTTATTTGTCCTGTTTCTTGGTTCTATCTGTGTAAATTGTCCTTGAGTTGGTTTCTCTGTATTCTTACTCGAGTAGACATATTCATAAATAGGCCAAATTCATAAACTTGGACCTAAAACTTGGGAAAACTTGGATCAAGTGAGTAGTTTTGTTTAGTCTGACAGGATTAGTTCTAGCACAGTGGGCTGCTCTTCTATCATAATAAAGCTCATGTTTTGTCGACTGGCACGCCTTTCCAAAGCTTATAAAGCCACATGAACTGCTTTTGTAACATAGCAGTGCCAGCTTTTTGGCCTCCTCTTACTTATTTTACTGTCCTTGTGTGAATCATGGGACATGCTGAGCAACGCGACCTTGCCACAAATGAGGGGTGCTATTAAGAAGTAGCACATCTGCACTGTATATTGTTAAATTGCTACAGCTTAACCACTTCAGATTAGTTTAAAAATTATGAAGATTTCAGTTAAAATATAGGCAGCATAAGCGGTTAATTAGGTGTGCATAAACCTGGATGGTATATTCTGTCACTCATATCTAAGATACAAGAGTCATTCAAACATCATTTGCTTCCTCATCTTCATTCCAGACACTGACAAGAAGAATCTCCTATTTCCTCATAATCATCATAACATGTATGTTACAAAAGGTTCAGTGATAAGACTTTTTTTTCTCTTAAAATTAAAATACTGAATGCCAAGTTTAATGATACTTTTAGATAAAATTTGCTAGGAAATACTTCAAAGAATTTCTTTCCTGACCCAAAAAAGTGATGTTTTCACAGCAGCATCTTGTGGCTGGAGAAGGACATCCATGCTTATCTGAAGCAAAATGAATGGCACTATCTTTTGAGAAAATGTTTTTGTTCCTTTTATTGAGATTTACTCAACAGGGTCAAAAGAGATCTATGAACACAGCCAGAATAATGATAGCCTGAAATAGAAACCAGGTACCACCAATAACAAATTGAACAATGTTACTTCCAGTACCACCCAGAGTTCAGAATGTCAGCCAACTGGTGCCTCTCTGCCTGTTGCATCTTGGATAGTTTAGCATCTGCAAGCATACTGATAATCCAATTAAACTAGCTATCAACGTCCTTGAGGAAATGCTGATGAGCCTAACGTAATGTGTAATGTGCATAGGATTTTCAGAGTAAGCAATACACATGCTAACATGGAAAAGCCAAAACTGAGGACACCTTCTCATACCTAACAGTGTTCTTATCTACACTTATCTTGGGCATATGCGGATGTGACAGCAAAGAGCAAACTGTTACAGCCTTGTTCTCACCCATGTTTTGTTTAGCACCTAAACCAACATTGATACAAAGTTCCTGTCTGTGGCACAAAGCCAGAACAACAACAAAGATAAATCTTTTTACAAGCTACTGTATTTTTTGTTACTGTACAGTATGTTTTGTCTCCAACCTTTGAAAACCCTGTAAAGAGATGACTCCCAGCCAGTACTGTGCACTCCTAGATACGTAAGTACTGGCCCAACAAATCACTATTAAAAGCCATTTAGGGCGCATGGAATGCTGTGGGTGTTCCTAAACCAGGATACGTAAATAAGCAAGAGTACACAAATGCAGGTCCTAGCCTCAGGCACTTGCATTTCAAATATCTATTGGTTCAAATGTGGGAAGTAAAGCTTTTTAACATTATGTGGCAGCAGAAACAAAGACCTCTTGTGTAGTATTGCAGCCATAAAAGGCAGCTCATTTTCTACTGGTTAGAAAAGATTTATTGCACAAATTCCAGCCTAAGCATTTTACTATTTTTTTCCTAATTACTGTTAATTATTTATTCATTCTGAAAAGGTATATAAAAGCTAAAGCTGGCACTATGTTTTGTTCAATAATTTAAGTGTTCTTATTTCAGAGAGGAGGACTGCTGTAACAACCTTCTGAACGAGCTGAACGCTGGAGAGCACTGAGTGAAGAGTACTTTGGATAAGTGGTAAGTAATGCCTAGACATTGAAGTGGATAACTTGGAGCAACTTCTCCAGTTTGGCAACGGGTTTGATGTGGGCACTTTATCTGCATGCAAACCAATTTCTTGACATTTCTAAACAAATGGTTTCCGGTGTTAGACAAGTACTTCGCATCTGAATGAGCAGTCATTAACTCCACAATCTGTCCTCTTCTCCTTGGTAATAGATTTCTGCAGATCATAGCTTTAAATGTTCCATGAATTTATATATTAAAAAGCTAAATTTAATTTGAAATAGAAATTAAGTTGTTGATTTTCTCAATAAGGATCATCTTATATATTATTAATATAACTCCGTGATAGTCTGGAATGCTGAAACCCAGATACAGAAATAACCACATTGTAAACACTTCAGGACTGACACGGATATTGGGGATGAAAGAGCTGCAAGAGCTCTGTAACACTGTATCAATTAATTACTTAAGAGAACAAGTATTTCTGGAAGCTGGTGTGTCTACAGTATCTGTCCTGCAGATTAACTCTTGCTAAATGTTTCAGTACCATAGGAATGCGCTGTGCCACGTTGAAGTCATGCCACGCCTGACTCCAGACGACATTAATATTGAGACCATTTGACCTTTTATGCAAACAGTACAAGAAGCACAATCTCAGTTGCACAAGGATCTATCTTAACAACACTACTTGAGGAGAAAATAAACCCTTGTTATGAATGAAATTCCATAAACACATTTTATTCAGATAGTTGGCAGTTATGAGAATCTAATACATAAATTGGTCCTGATTTGGGTGTCAAAACCACCCTTTACCCTTGTTACTCTCTGCAGTATTCAATCAACATTTTTGATAATCAGTGGTGGATTTCTTTTGTATGAGTATGTATGTGCAATTTTCAGTAGAAAAGGAGCAGACTTGTAGAAGCAGATGTCATAGACCAGTTTCAGATATGCATAGCTGGGAGCACAGGGAAGTGCTGAGTTTAAGTCCAATAGCTTGTAGGGATGGCTCCTTTCTTGAAAGGGAGAGTGCTCAGCCATAGAGGATTTTGGCTGTAAGTTGCATGGAAAAATTAGCAGCAGTAGCTCTAAAGCACACAAGGCAGGTGAAGGAGTGAGATTTATGCTTCTCCCCTCCATGCTCTTTTACAAGAGTTTTAGATCTGAACTAAATAATAATAATAATTAAAAAATTAGTCTTCTGAATCCTCCTCTTATATTCAGTAGAGGGCATAGGAAACAAAAGCACTCAAGTTGGGAAATTTTACCTTTCAAGTAAGAGAACAAGAGAGGGGGGAAGAAGCACCCTCACAAAAAGAGATGTCTGCAAAGTGAGATACAATCATTAGGCATAGTCTATCATAGAATGGCTGAGACTGGAGGGCACCTAAAAGATCTAGTTCCCACAACTGGGATTGTTCATGGTACAATAGGAGTCAATTAGTATTACTTTTATACCAACATTTTATACCAAACCTTTATGATTGGCACTGCATTTCAGTGTTCTCTCTCTGAGAGAGCTTGTTCTCCCCATTTTTAAAAGAAACCAAGATATTCAGTTCTATACCTCAAAAAGGCTTACTCTGGGAAGTGTAAAAATTCATCAGCTGTAAGCAGCTCTTCTGACTTCCACATTTTCTCTGTGTGGCACTACAGTGTTGATTCACACATAATATTTTAATAGAGGTTGTGTATTTCGTGCTCAGGAGACAGATGTGGAAGTGATGCATGGCCATCAAGAGGAATTTTGTTACCATAACTTTCTAACTTGCAGATGAACTGCCTGAAGCTTGCTTCTGTTGTGCCTGAAACCTAGATTAGAGTAAGCTTATTCATACCTCTGTCTGTTAAGTTTGCTCTGCCATCCATAATGCTCCCACTCTGTGAGCTGCTGAGACATCCTAGGGTCTCAGCATCCAAGGCTAACAATCACAGAAATCAGGTGGATTCAATATACTTTTAATGAACTCAACATAGACGTTGGTAAATAAATTGCTGGACACATAGGCAAACAAAATATAGCTCTGAAGGAGCTGCAAGACCTGATGTAAGTGCACTGTTCTGATTTTTTGGTCACCTCTCAACTAACTACGCAAACTGGGGGAAAGAGAGACCTGTTGTTTCATACTCTACAAAAAAAAAAAAATAAGACAATGTTTCTGGATATATATCTTAACTAATTTCTCCTGCACTAGCAACAAATGAACTGCCAGGGACAGAATGCACTTTTCACCCCATCTGTTAAAGCATTTCAGTGAATGTCAATTGGCAGCAGCAGTGCAAACTCCAGATATTCACTTTCCCAAGCAGGATGTCACTCCTATAGATGTTGTGAGATGCTGCTGTCAGAAAATCTTGTTTCTACTTGCTCTTATCTCACAACTCTCCCCTGCAATCAAATCAGTGAGACTGCAGAAGGAACACTGGCAAACCCACAAAAGGTTTCAGTGATCTGTATACTCCCTCTCCAGTCCAGATTTCTTAATTTCTGTATCACATCGGATGTGTCACAGTCCACTGGGTATTTATGAAAAGTTGTGTAACTAGAATTACATAAAGTACAGGAGGGATAGTTTGATCTGAACACCTCTGCAGATGGGGCACAGTCAGCTATTGCTGGCTTTCTGACAAGCCAGAAATGTTATAAATGTGTTTTAAAGACTGCTCAGAGAGCAAGAGATTAAGATAATTCAGCCATATAAATATGTGGCCATGAAAGGGAGACATGAGTTTTCTATCTTTGCTGGTGGTGTAGCTGTGAGGTTAACATTTCTCTTTAGATGTTTACCCGACAGCTTATGACTGAGCCCATGCTGTTCCTGTTTCAGTGTTATGCCCCATATACTCTCTGTCCAGTAAGCTCTTAATTTCCAGTTAGATGATGCTCTGTTGGCAGTCTGTCAGAAGCGTAACATTTAACACATCGTCAACTTAATTATCTGCCTTAAATCTGAAAAAAATAAATAGCATGAGGGTGCTGCAGAGAGGAATACTGATGGATTACTTTTGATATTCTTGTTAAACATGGCATGGAACAGGTGAAATATCCAGTGGTAAGATTAACTGTATCTTTTATAAAGTGAAAAGTTTTCACCTTGAAAACTCTCTTTAAAAAACAAATTTAGCAGCAACTAACTAAAGCCCTTTGCAGCAGAGGGGAAAGTTTTGTTTGTAGGCTTTCAGTACTGAAACTGCACTGGGAAGTGAAGAAGGAAGACAGTAATTTTTCTGGCTTCAGTGATTAGACAATGAAGATGCTTTCCTAGTTCCTCTTACCTTAAAACTCGGCCTGATTTCTCGGAACCATTCAGAAATAATGGCCCCAGCACTGCCTATGGTATTTCTTCTGTTAGACTGGATTTCTTCTTAGAAAACCTCCTGTATGCATGAGGATCCGAACATAACTTCTGCTCCAACCTGCTCTTTCTCTAAATTGACTGTTAGTCCTTGCGTATCATAGCTCACTGTCTTTTAAAAACTCCTGTCTAACAGACACCTTGCATTCAAGACAGGATCTATCATTATCATTTATATATACATTAATATTTGAAGATCAAAGATATCCTTGAGATGCTGAAGCAGAAGTATTCGTAATCCATATTCGGGACAAACTGAACAGATTAATGAACTGCCCAAGACCGTGACATGAAGCACAGTGTAAATAACAGATAATCCACCCTACCTGAAACTATAGAAATCAGATTTGTTTATTAATAAGTGATTATTAAAATGCCTTTTAATGCTGTTGAAGCACATGTGGTGATGATTAGAGAGGAATTTTCTTGACAGGGCACTGAATAAATAGACCCATCCTTTGCAGAAGCATTCATGCAGTGGCACAGCTAATGTAAAGAGGTGAGGCTGACCCAACATTTAGACAAATGCTAATATAGCCCTACAGGTGGATGACTTCAGCACAGTTGTCGTGCATTTTTTGGTTGTTTTTAACTGCGTTTTTGATGCTGCTGTGCCTACCTGGCAGTCTTGCTGCATGCTGCTACAATTTTCCCTCTTTTCCTTCTCAGCTATCAATTTACAAAGTAACGGAATGGAGAACAAGCAACAAAGCAATGGGGGGGTGACAAAAAATAAGGAGATGAAGAAAAAAATGGTAAGTGAATGCCTCAACTCTTCTATCAGTGTATTTGCTGTTATGTCAGCACGTTAAGGCGAGAAATAATGTATGTGCTACCCACATACAGCCATATTACTGGCTTTTGTGTGTCAACAGCAGTGAGCTGCTCCCACTGTGTTATGTTAAATGAAACTAAATAAAACACAGATACTGATTCATCTCAAATGCGCTCCATGCATTTTAGAGGCTCAATTCTCCTAGTTTGCCCCTTGTACTGTTGGGGACCATTCAAAAAGATTAGAAGTGTTGTTTGGGTTATCTATCTGTGCAGATGTTTCTCAATATGAATGATGACTTCACATGTTAATAAGGACCACATGGCTTTCTGTTCAAGTGCTGCTTTGCTCAACGTGTGGTGAGGACACAGGTTGCACAAAGACTCAGGTCATATATTTGGAACAATTTCGTCTCAGAAATTGGTGGTGCATTGGCACAGGCTGCCCAGGGATGTGGAGGAGTTACTGTCCCTGGTGATGTTCAAGAACTGTGTAGGTGTGGCACTGAGGGACATGGATAGTGGGCATGGTGAGGATGGGATGGTGGTTGGAGCAGGTGCTCTTAGTGGTCTTTTCCAGATTTAATGATTTTATGACACCTCCAAGTTTCTACATTACAGTCTGCCTTCAAACCTGCTGTGCTTTATGGCTTAACTTCTGTGTCTTTGGGAACTGCAAGGTAGTTGTGAGGTATGTGGCACGTTAGCGGTGGAAAGAGTGCAGATTTACACCACTATGGATTGCAGACATCTGGGAATAGTTCCCAGATGTACTTAGGACTGGTCTGAGGCACATGCGTTGCCAACTGAAAGGCGCAGCTTAACTCTCAGCGTTTTGATGCGTGTTTGCAAATAGGCACCTGCGGAACGAAGAGGTGGAAGCGCTGACCACCGCCCCCCAAGCAGCGCGGAAACCCTCCGCCTCCCCGGGGCTCACGGCTATTTGTTTAAGTTATTCAGCAGCGCTCTGGACCACCCCATCCCTCCCTCCGCGCAGGCCAATCTCTGTGGTGGCGGAGCGGAGCTCGGGCACGGCCGCGCTGCCCCTCGCTCACCCCCCGCCTCCCACGGCCGCGCCCCGCGCGCTGCCCGGCGGAGATGCGCGACTGCTGCGCACGTGCGGAGGCGGCGGCATGGAGCCTGCGGCGGCGCCCGAGGCGGATACGCTGGTGGCGCGGGAAGCGGGCGGCCGCCGCGCGGGGAGAAGCGCAAGTAGCGTAAGGAGCCCGAGGGGAGCGGGGTCGGCGGCGGAGGGGTGCTGACTGGGGGGAGAAGGGGAGGATTTGTGACCTTTCTCAGCTGGGTAGGGGGGAGGAGAAGCGGGCTCGGGCACGGCGGCCGCGGGAGCCGGAGTAAGTCCCCGAGTGAGAACGGGCTCAGGTTGCAGTGCGGAGCGGTCCCCGCTCGGTGCCGGCTGGGCTGAGCTAAAAATACCGTGGCCGCCCGAGCCGGGAGCGGAGGGGGGCAGCGGGGACGGGGCAGAGCCGACCACGCGGTGGGAGAGAGCCCGCTGGGCGAGCAGCTCCTGCAAACAGGGCGAGGAGAGCGGGGCTGCACTGCGCTCAGCTGGGGAGGGCAGGGAGCAGCCCGGGGGCCACGGGTGGGCACGCACCTGTCTGCCTGGAGCCGTCCCAGCAGCGGTGTGCAGGGTCGGGTGCGTGAAAATCAGGTGCCTATTGTCGATAAGAAGCCTTAGCAGCGTCTATTGAAAGATCCTAAAACTTCCTTCTGTGCCTGTGCGGTGTTTACTGCTTGCAACTGTGTTTGATTTTAACCTGGAAAGGGGGCTATCACCCACTAACCAGAAAAGCAAAATCATGAATAGTGCTTGGAAAACTGAAATGCAAACCAGTGTACTTTTAAAACAAAAGCAACTGAAGGTTCATAGTACGCGAGCATTGCACCCTGTGCTGAAAGAAGAAGTTGAGTTGGTAAAAACATTTCCAAAGGCTATCGGAGCTCTGTGATCTGTGATAAGAGCAAAAAAATATGAACTCTTACAAGTAAGCAGCTCTCTCATGCCTGGGGGTCTTTGCTTTGGTCCAGTATGAAACTTCCTTACTGCACCTTTATGCAGGGTGACAGCCTGTGCTAAGAGCAGCACACTGATAGTGGTAAAGGAAAGTAGCACCGCTGGGGAAAGTGTGACCACTTCTTGTTTCCCAGCCACTATCGAACAGATTGCTGGAGGCTTAGCTTGCTTTGATCACTTATTTGTTTAAAATACTGCCACAGACTTAATTTTATTTTGAGTAATTTTTTTCTTTCTTTTTTCTTTTTCCCTTCTTGTTTCATTTTGCTTTTATTTGGCGTTGCTGAAACTTGAGCAAATATTTGAAGTAGTGCACGAGGAGAGACAGGTCATGGAGAAATTGAAGCTCATGTTCCAAGATCTGTAAAGCTTTGCATGAGGCTCAGTGTGCCTTCTGCAGCAGGTCATATATGAGAAAACTTCAGGGTGCTGAAGTGTGCTCTAAACCTTGCTGTCTGCAGCACTTGAAAATAGAGTGGGCATTGGGTTTTCTAATTTGACAGCACTCGCATCATTTGTACTGCCTTATTTGTTACTTAACCCTGTGTGCATTTAATTTGTTTGCGCTGAAATTTTCAGGTGTTCACTGGAGTTTTTAATAAGCATAGATTACGTGGTCCAAATCACCTTGTTTGCAGGATTTTTCCAAGGTGTTTAATGTTGTTGGAGCAGATCTTATGTGGTAATATTGCTAAAAGGACTTGCACTTATCATTTATAAAACCTTTGGGAACACTCCTGTGTATCTCCTTAGTGTTCTAAATTCACAGAATCATAGAATCATTTGAGTTGGAAGAGACCCCAAAAGGCCATCTAGCCCAATTTCCCTGCAGTGAACAGGGATGCCTACAGCTCCGTCAGGTTGTTCAGAGTCCCACCCAACCTGAGCTTGAGTGTCTGCAGGGATGGGGCATCCACCACCTCTCTGGGCAACCTGTTCCTGTGCTTTGCTACCCTTATAAAAATGTCTTTTATATCCAATCTAAACCTCCTCTCTTTTAGTTTAAAACCATTTATCCTTGTCCTGTCACAATAGACTCTGCTAAAGAGTCTGTTCCCTTCTTTCTCCCATTGCAGATATTGAAAGGCCATTCGGGTTTCTCCGGAGCCTTCTTTTTTCATGGGCCCCACTGCTAGAGCCTGTCTAGGTCTCTTTGAATGGCTTCTTTCCCTTGAGTACATCAACTGCATCACACAGTGTGGTGTCATCTGCAAACTTGCTGAGGGTGTGCACAATCCCACTGTCGATGTCACTGATGAAGATAACAAAGAGCTTTGGACCCAGTACTGACCCCTGAGGGACACCACTGGTCCCTCATTCAGAGTAGCAGTGACTCCTAGAAGTGAAGGAGTGGCTGTTCAACTCAGAGAAAAAATGGGCAAGGTGTTATCAACACCTAAATAAAGCCTTATGTTGAAATTTCTGCTTCTTATTTCTGGAATAATGCTGCAAAGCTGCATGTGTGGCAGGTTCATTTTGAGAAGCTGGCTAATAATAATAAATTGTACTTGGCTTATTTAATGAACTCCATGGGATATATTTCTTATGCAAGATTTTCTTCTTCTGCTGTACACTTCCTCCTGACCTGACTGAAAATAGAGCAGTTAATGAACTGTGTAATCTCTTCAAAGACTACCACGCCCTGTGGAAGAAGTTAACCACGCTGGGCTGTACCACAGGGCATGTTTGAGCCCTTCAGACCTGCAGCTGCAGAGCACAGCAGACCCCATGGGTGCTGAGTTGTGTGCTGCAGCCCCTGCCCTATCAGTGGATATCCCATAATTTCTTCATGAACCCAAGTGACAGTGACTGTGTGGTGGCAACGTGACCCCCAGCATGTCAAAAGCCACACTGCAGCCACTTCCCCTACTGTACTTGTCCTGGAGGAACTTGCTCCTGTTCATCATCACTGCTGTCATGCAATATGCTACCTGCTCAAATGTAGTTGGTGCTTCAGATCTTCATTTCCCAAAGGAAATGTACAGCTTTGTGCCACTGACAAAATGTATAGATTCATTAACCTGTCGTCTGCTCTTTGTGATGTAGATGAAGCTGAAGTTACAAGGCCTACTTACACAGCTTTTTCTCCTTTCCAAAGCCATTTCCAAAGTTCAGGCTTCAATGAGCAATCAGACTGAACATAAACCAGTAGTCACTGCTCCTGAAATTTGAGATTCTTAGCAGAGTTTTTAAAAATAATTAAAAAAAAAGATGCTTTAAAATGTCATCCACTATAATGAAATATATAATGAATGAATGAATAATTATAAATATATAATGAAATTATGAAAAATTATAAATATATAATGAATGAATTAAATAATATATAATGAACTATAATGAAAGTCAAGAAAGGTGAGCTGTCTTCTATAATGTACAAAACAATAGCCAAGCAGCCACCAAAACACAGATTTCTCTTAGGAAATCTTTTGAGAATTAAATTAGGACTGGCATTGGTCACGTGTGCAGCACTCCAAAATCCAGAAGCAGAACTGAGTGTCAGAAAGTGATGCTGGATGAAATGGAAAGGACCCTTAAGTCTGGAAGCTTCAAATCAACTGACTGTTACTCCATTATCTGAGCAACGTTGCTTTTTGTATGGATGAAGAAATTAGTAGTAGAGGTTGGGGCTATCAGCTAAATGCAGGAGGAGGGATGGGGGTGGAAGGAGGAAAGTTGTAGAGGGTGAATTACTGGTACAATGCTGGGGGAAAAGAGCAGATGGAATCTCTGTCTGAGAGTGTGTGTGCGAATGGCAGCAAGTTGCTGTTGGTGAGGTACATCTGGGTTAGAATATCTAGTTTTTGGCACCAGTTTGTTTGTTTGCTTGTTTGTTTATTTAATGCTCAGAATTTCACTAATCCTTATGCTTATTGGGCTGGGTGGGGAGTACACCAACTTCTTAGGCTACCCCCTAAGTCAGGTCTACCCCAAGTCATGTTGCACCAATAATGTGTTACTGTGTGCTTTGTGGTGTTATTGTGCATTGCCAAAGGTTTCTTTGATGAGATATGCTTCTGTAAGATTTTGCTTTTTATTTTTTATTTTTTATTTTTTATTATTTATTTATTTATTTTTGTGTGTGTTGGGGGCAGATGGGGAGATTGAAGCAAGAATTTGTGAGGTTGAAAGAAGTTTGAATGTTTACTTATGCCTTGGTAAATGTTAACTGAGATGCTGTCACTTCAGATTTACTGTTTCTTGGTCTGCAGAAATGGGGAGTGCTGCAGGCCATTACTCTGCATGAAGGAGGTCTGCCTGCAGGAGCTACACAAGACAGTACAAGCAGTGTTAAAGACTGCAGCTTTTCTATTTAGAGTATACTAACAATGGCTAATTCTTTTCCTTGTTTTTCAGAATTGGTCTGGAAGTCTAATTTTAGCATCTTTAACTGGTGCTTTTGGGTCATCTTTTCTTTATGGTTACAATCTCTCTGTGGTGAACGCGCCTGCAGTGGTAAGTTACTGACACAACTGGCACTAAATATCAGTAGAGGGCAGCCTTGTCTATCTAATGTGCTCTCTCCAGCATCCTGCTCTTACCATCCTGCTGATAACGGTGGAAGAGGTTAAATCTTCTATGTTAACCTTTCTGTACTTGAATGACTGTTTCTGGTGTCTGTTTTCAACTAAATTCAGTATTGGTCAGGAAAACAAATGCTGCTGTCGAGATGAGGAGTTGTGCAGGGTTTCTTTTACAAAAAAACTTCCCAAAATACAGAATAATGCTAAATCTTGCTCAGTTTTGAGTGATAAAGCATTTTTAAGAGCCTGTCTTTCTGACTAGAGAATATTTGGTAGCTGCAGGCGCATATTCAGCAACTTTTGTTCATTCAGTTCTGGAGGCTGACACATTTCATTCCCACAGTTGCGCTGCTATAAATGTCTCTTGCTGCCTCTTAAATCATGGGCCACTTCTGCATTTCTTTGGTTCTGATTTTGAAACTGCTGTGTTGACAGTTTGCTGCAATGTATGGATTATGTCTGATGAGAAGAGTATTGTAGAATCAGTGTACAATTTTTGAGGGATTTCATTAAAATATCAGCTATCACATGGAAATCTGAATGACTTGTTTTCATACTGATGGCCTACAGAGGCACTTAATTCAACCAAGCAGCACATTAAGCAATTCAGTAGAGCTGCAAGAAACACTTTTTTTTTAAAAAATAGGTAACTGGTAAATTTTTTCAGTGAGTTGTCGATACTCTGTTTTTAAAAAGTTCCTTTCCAAAGTTCAGCTCCTCCTTTTATGGAAATCTGTTATTAGAATGTGTGGCTAAGCTTCACCTGAGCAGCTCAGTCACATGAAGAATGGATACAATATTCATTCAAGTAATGGAAAAAGAAATTTTGAATTCATATTGTATTTAATAAAGCAACGATGTGAAGGATTAGAAATTGACTCACCCTGTAGGAAGCTTTCGTTGTTCACTTGACAGCTTCTGGGAATTTTCCTGAAGCTCCTGGTACCATTTGTACCAATAACACCGGTTTAGACAGATTGGATGTTTATTCTAGTATGGCATGTCTGTGCATCACCTCAGCCTGCAATCTTCAGGAGATAAGTATGGCTTAGACAGAATCAGCAGGAAGCTGAAATTCTGGGAACAATGGTATTGATTGTAGCGGTGATAGGCATCTTTCCTGCACTGAGTCAGTGCTGTCAGAGGTGAAGCATGAATAGTCTGGCTTCTAAACTTCTAAGTGCGATATGAAAAATGGACCACCTGGTAATCAAAGCTCTCCTGCCGCTTTCTGCATGGGTAAAAGAAAGAAAGAGTGATCAGAAATGTTATTTGCCAGTGCCCAGATTGTTAGATTTGAGCCATGTTATTGATTATAGTGGTGATCAGAGAAGAATGAAGTTGGGGAGACTGGAATTGCAACTATATCATGAAGAAGGTTAAATTTCAAGTGTCATGGATAGTAGTACTTCCAGCATTGTCTGTTTTTGCTTGAAATCTTTATTTGTGGCTATTGGACAGAAAGTTTGGCACCGTGTTGGTGGTTCTGGTTGTGCTGTTGACAGGTGTGCATGAAGTCTGCCCTCTTCCAGAGTGGTGTTGCAGTATTTGAGAATTTAGTATCTTCCTTATTTGTGTTAGGCTATACAGTAGGTAGGGCCTAAGAATAGTCCTGTTCATACTCCAACGGAAAAGAGTATGTAGTTGTGTTGTTCAAGAGCAGAATACTACTAGTGTGGCCCCTGGTCCTCTCTGTAACTCCCAGGTCAAGCTGTGTCATCCATTTGTCTGGGACAGGCCACTTTCCCGTCTCTATCCTGCACTGGCCAGGCTGGAGAGAAGAGTCTGGGAGCTGCTCATAGCCAAGGTGAGGAGGAATGAGCCGTACCAACACTGATTCCTGCAGCACAAAATCAGAACGTTTGCTCCATATGTCTTCTCCTGTGTGGCTGTGTGTCACCAAATGAAGTGAAGTTGAGAATGATGTGAGGTAACTGAGGGGAATGGCTTTTGCCTGTAAATAAATAGCGCTCTTACAAGAGGTCATAGTGGGAGTACATTAACTCCTAAAAGCTGTAAGTTGAGTTTAATTTATAAACTTGGTGAATCAAGCAACGTGATTTGGTTGTGTGCACCTTACAGCCAACATTGTGGTGGGCATCTCTGTGTAGGATGCTGAGTATCTTTTGCTCCTATTTACTTCAGTACAATTCCTGTTGACCAACTTTAGAGAAATTGCTATATAATGCTTTAAGGGGTATTTAGAAAGTGCTTGATAATGACTGTTGACAAAAGTATGAGATGTTTCCAGGAGACAGGATTTGAACACTGAATTGTACAGGGGAAGTTCATTTAAGGCTGAAACTATGAACTCTGTGTGCAATTGTGTATGTCTTCTTTCTGTGCTGAAAGTTGTGCCAGCTCATCAAACCACAGGGAAATGCCCCCGCAGTTCTCAGCTGGGAGCTTTACAACAAGCCATTTCATAAGGTTCGGTCCTTGATCTGACTTACTGCAATGGGGAAACAAACTGCATCAGATCTGCCCAGTGCAGATTTGTCTGTACTGACTACTCAGTCCCCCACCTTCCTGTGGGAAGGAGCAATAACCCATTGCAGGTGTGCTTTTCCCCTGCCAAGCACTTCTTGTCTTCTTCCTGCTGGAAGCTGTGTTTCTGCAATCTTTTTAGAGCTGGCACTGGGGTAGCTGCAGAAATGTATAGCTCACTGTCAGCCAGTTGGGTAAGTGTGAGTGGCCCTCAAAACTGTGGGCCAGGGCATTTTTCTTCTCAAAAGACCACCTCTTATCTCCCCTTGATGTAAGTTATTTAAAGTTAGACAAGAAAAATCACCTTATATGTGTGCGTGTATATATGTGCTTATATATGCTTTAACTCTGTTCTGGCGTGGCCTTACCTTCAGTACTGTGTGCAGGTTTTGGCATTATGATATAAAAAGGACATAAAATTATTAGATAGAATCCAAAGGAGGGCTACCATGATGGGAAAAGTTCTAGAGGTCAAGACATGCAAGGAGAGGTTGAAGTCCCTCAGTTTGTTCAGAGCAGAGCAGCTGCAGAGGGAATGGCATGGAGCTGTGTCAGGGGAGAGGCAGCTGGGGGTTAGGGAAAGGGTCTGCACCAGAGGGTGGCTGGGCACTGGCAAAGGGTATGCATAATGGATTTGTTGAATCAGATTTGTTTTTTGCTTTTGGTTTTCATTTCCATGTGCAATACCTCCAAACCTGTATGTGTTAATACTTTCCCATTTAGTGTCAGTAGAAATCTAGGCAAAAAAAAAGAAAGAACAAAAAAACAAACAAACAAAAAAAACCAACGTGATGGCATGTTTGTCTCTTATTCTTAAATGCTGTAGTTCGTACTTTATTTTCTTGAATATTTAAACTTGCCTAATGTCTCATTATGAATAAGAATGTAGTGCTGAGAAAATTAGTCATGACAAGGGGAAAAAATTTACATACTATTTTTAGTTATTAGAATTAGCAAGAAATGCTAATAGTGTTCTAAAAATGCTTTCTCTTAGTATTCATCACTATCAAAAATGAATCTCAAATAAACTAGATATCAAAATCTAAATATAATCTGAGTACTGATATTAGAGATAAGATTTATTACTTGATTTAGTGATGAATTTATTTGGATATTCACAATGAAATATAGTTTGCTGCAAAGTTAACCAAGTGCAATTGGACATTTTTCATGTAATAATTTGTTTCTGTTTGTATGGGAACTATAAAATAGAGTGGAAATAATGAGGTATGATTGTCTTTCTTTTAAAAGTCAGGGCACAATAATCTAGCCAGAAATTTAATAGAATGAAGACACTGTGAACACCGCATGTTCTACCCCCACTTCTCTAATGTACTTGGCATGTGCAGAGATTGTGTTTCAAGCTAAATAAAGCCCTCAGGTTGAATAGCTCGTGCATAGCAGGCTCGAATACCTATGGTTGGAAGTTCCTAGCCTAAACAGGGAGAGCTTGGTGGAAGTCTTATCCTTCTGAGTGCTACCCCAAGATACTTTAGAGGCTGTGTCATGCCTGATGAAATCTGAGAGGAGCCTGACGAGACTTTGAGATACTGTAGAGCTTGTGAGGGATCGTATCACACAGGTGTGCAGAACTGTTCTGCAGGAGTGATCATGTGGTACCTCATGCTTTCTGGAATACCATAACCCCCAGTGGCATCAGATCTTTTCTTGGTTTCTAAATGAGAGAGGAATAAAAGTGAAGAAGTTTGATGAAAAAGAAATCAAATACACGTCTTTGCAGGTGATACAAAGATTGTGTAAGAAATGTCCTACTGGAGATATGAAGCCTTTACATTTTAGAAAGATGAGAAAATTAGGCATAACTGAACATTAGAGTAAGAGTAGTTGTTAAAGCCATCTTGCAGAAAATTACAATTGTGCTCATATAGGGAAAGCAGAAAAATAATATGAACTCTGGCATCCTGATTACTAAAACTGTGAGCTGGTCATGGGATCTGAGTATTTTCAGGAGGGAGAAAAGAATTCCAGAGAGCTGAAGCTATAAGGCTGATAGATCAAGCAGAAAAATGATGTTCCAGAAATACAAGGACAGAGCAAGAAAACTGAATTTATGTTTTGGAATGGAAAAGTCTCTGAAGGTTCCATGCCAGAAGGCTTTTTACAGGGATGTATTGGATACATTTTAAAATCAGTAGAAATGTGGAATAAAATTAGTCATAATTTTCTATCTCACTGACAAAATGCCATACATAAGACTGAAAAAAATACCCAAAAATACTGGCTACATGTCACTTCTTACAAATAACATAAATAATAGAGAAATTGAATGAATTAATGTGACTTGAAGGAAAAAAGTAATTTTGAGGGACAGGCTGGGAAGATAAAGGTTAAGAATTAGATATTTGCACTTGACAAACTTGCGGAAACTATAATACAAAAGTGAGAATCTGGGAAAGATCAGACATGGCTTTTGTGAAGGGCAACGATCCCTTAAGGGTCTGGAGTTTTCCACAGAATCAAGAGGCTCTCGGACTTTCAAAAAATATTCTGGAAGGATACTTATGCAAGTCTTTTAGGAGGAACTAAGCTGTCATGGGGGAGTAAGTGTAGGCTTTGGGATAGATGAGTTGTTAAAATACAAGAAGATAGGAGAAGCCAGGTTTCAGGTTTTTGTTTCTTTAAGAGAAATCAGTTGACTGGAAGATAGATTTATTTCTGCATCTTAGGTATCTGATTTCATGTTTGATACTTCTTTCATTACTGAAAATAAAATGCTTGTTTAGCTGCCTGAACTTCATTCAAAAAACATCTTATGTAAATGTGAAGGTAAGAAGCTATTATTTATTTATAGAAGCAATTTGTCATTCTTAACAGTGTCAAAAAAGCTAGCTCTTTTTTTTTTTTATGTTACTGTGGCTTTTTTTTTCCCCTGTAGTATCAAACCAACATCTAAAATTTCTTATCTTCCTCCTCCAGCAATTATTTATCTTGGCTGTGAATTTCTGGGAAGAAAAATGTTAACTTTTGTTGCTTGGCTTAACATGTCCTTTATTTTGTATGGCTGACTGGTTCTGTGTTATCATAAATGAGTCATAAAAGTGGAGCAGGCTCCCTTCTTCCATCAGTCCATGAATACCAGTTCATATTGGAAAGATCCAACCAGTGATCAGAGTCATGATCTGGTGCCACTAAAAGAAGGTGAAGGGTCTTAATAATCGGAGACTCTTTGCTGAGAGGCACTGAGGTGCCCATCTGCCTCCCGGATAATCTCTAGAAAGGTTTGCTGCCTGTTGGGGGCTTGCATTCAGGACGTCAAGAAGAGAATATCTGGCATGATAAAGCCAGACAACCACTATCACCTCCTAGTCTTTCAAATTGAGTTGCATGAGGCTGCAACCAGGAAATTTAAAAACATCACAGAGTTTGGAATGGACCTCAAAAGATCACTGAGTCCAACCCCCCTGCTAAAGAAGGTAACCTAAAATAGGTCACACAGGCAGGCGTCCAACCAGGTCTTGAATTCTTCCATAGGAGACTTCATAATCTCTCTGCACAACTTATTCCAGTGCTCTGTCTCCCTTACCATAAAAAAGTCCTTACAATGTCAGTAAGGAACTTTCTATGCTGAAGTTTTAGGCCATTACTTCACGTCCTATCACTACACACCACTAAGAAGAGCCTGGCCTCATCCATTTGCCTTCCACCTCTCCTTAGATATTTATAAACGTTTTTCAGATCTCCTCTCAGACTTCTTTTCCCCAAGTTGAACAGACCCAGGTTACTCAGCTTTTCCGAAAAGACTCCATGTCCCTAGTGAAGATGTTGGAGGGATTGGGAACGCAGGTAGTGTTCTTCACAGTTCTCCCATTTGGGGACTGGGATCTGGGCAGAAGGAGGAGAACAGATCAGTTGAATGAATGGCTGCATGGGTGGTGTCACACCAAAGGCTGTGTGTTCTGAAAGCCCATCTGAAGGGCCTCTATACCAACACATGCAGCATGGGGAATAAGCAGGATGAGTTGGAAACCATGGTGCACTTGGAAAACTTATGATCTTATTGCTATCATGATGAGACTATGTAAACTTAATGAGGTTCAACCAAACAGAGTGCAAGGTTTTGCACTTGGTTCAAGGTAATCCCAGATATGCTTTCAGACAGCTAAAAGAACTCTGTGAGCATAGTCCTGCTGAGAAGAACTTAGGGATCCTGGGATGAGAAACTTAACATGAGCCAGAAGTGTGCACTTGTAGCCTGGAAGGCCAATGGTATTTTGGGCTGCATCAGAAAAGAGGTGAGCAGTGAGGGTGGTGATATTCCTCCTCTATTCTGCCCTCGTGTGGCCCTATCTGGAGTACTGTGTCCAGGTCTGGGGCCTACAACACAGGAAAGATGTGGAGCTTTTGGAGAAGATCCAGAGGAGGGCAACAAACATGATCAGAGGGCTGGAGCACCTCTCCTTCCAGTACTGAAAAGGAGATTATAAACAGAAGGGAAATCAACTTTTTACATGGATAGATAGTGATAGGACAAGGGGGAATAGTTTTAAAGTGAAGGAAGGAAGAGTAAGATTAGATGTCAGGGGGAAGTTTTTCACTGAGAGAGTAGTGAGGTGCTGGAGTGGGTTGCCTAGAGAGTTTGTGGATGTGCCATCCATGGAGGTGTTCAAGGCCGGGTTGGATGGGACCTGGGCAACTTGATTTACTACTTGGTACAGCAGTTGGCAACTCTGCCTGTGGCAGCGGGGTTGGAACTTGACCCTTGTGGTACCTTCCAACACAAGCTGTTCTATGATTCTATGACCAATTTTTTCCACAGAATCATAGAATCACAGAATCGCAGAGTTTGGAAGGGACCTCAAAAGATCGAGTCCAACTCCCCTACCAAAGCAGGTAGCCCCCCTTCCCAAAGCAGGTTTCAATTCAGTCCATCTTTTTCCTGAAATTATGCTAAAGAAATTGCTATGAAGGCACTCATTTTTACAATACTGCATCTTCATAGAAAAGACAAGTGAAATAGCATTTCCTTTTGTGCAAATCTGAGCTTGCGTTTTAGGTCTGAAATACAAAGCATCAATGATAAGTACTGTTTCATAGTAAGCACAGTGCAAGCTTTGACCAATGGGATTCCTATTATATATCTTCTAAAGTATCTTTAATTTTTTCCCCATTAAGTTTCATAATTAAATGTAAAAAAAAAAATGGGCAACCAATGTAGTAGAAATTCCAGGAAAATTTCTTTATAATCAGGAAGACAGGTTTTGGACATGCCATTTGGGAAGTGGGACTGAGGTGGGCGTGTTGAACCCAGTGTTTCAGTACCCACAAACAGGCTGATGCCCTTTAGAGCTGTTGCTTACAAATGTCCTAATCTTCTTCTATTTCTTCTATATCTTTTAACAAATATTCAGCAATTCAACAAATTTTGAAATCTTCCATGAAATGTTGTGTTCTCTGTGGTAGCTTATCAGCTAGAGTGTTTTCTGTGCATGTGCGTTCATGCAGGCTTCTGGAAGAAGCACAAGGGTGGTGAGGCAAATAAGAGGAAATGGGGAAAGCAAAGAAAGAAGTTACCACAGTTGTGATATGTGTGTGCAGATGCATGGACAGTCTTCATTTAATTCCTCCCACTCCATACCCAATCTGTCAACATTCAGCTTTTGGTGCTGTACCACGGAAAACAAGCTGAACTTGTTTCTTGATGTCAGTCATGTTGTCCTCTGGCAGGTATCAGTTGTGATTCCCACCCTCTTTACTCCTGCATTTCTGCCTACTTACCAGTCTCTTCAAGACATTTTCACCTCTGTCCCCTCCCTTCCTCAATCCCTTCTTTCCTTCCTTATTTTTTTACCCAAGGTTATTGTCATGATAGAACCATGAGAAAGCAACGAAACGACTTGCTCTTAGTACAAGATTGTTTCATGATCAGTGACTCAACAAGAGATTCCACTATTCAAACATTTATGGTTGTTCTTTATTTTTGTTTATTTATTATTATTTTCAAGATGTCATGGCAGATGATAGACAGTACAGTTTTGTTTAGCTTGTCCAGAAACTGTTATTCTAGGATGCGATACCTCACTTGCTTGAGGTTAATGGTATATATGTGAGCTATCAGCAGATCTCAGTGATGTGCAGAAATGTGCCAAGTGTTCTGTTGTTAATTTTGTACTGGCAACTTAAATCATATCATGCCTTCTTTAGAGAAGTTTTTCTTTTATGTCTCTCCTCTTTTCCTCTTGTCTGCTAATGTTTTCTTTCCACAATGCCCTTAAAAGCATGTATACTTTGATGGTTCAGTTAGTCTGTAACACAGTTGCATCTATAGGTGGGTACCCATTTTTTGGAGGAGGAAGATAGGAATACAAAAGTGGTTCCTGCAAGCAAGCTGCTGTTTGTTCATCCAATTGCTGTGAGCTGCGTACTTAAAGACGGATTTTCGTATGTACAATGCTGTATTTTCTTTCAGTATATCAAGAAGTTCTACAATGAAACTTGGGAACGAAGATACGGCTTCTCAGTGGATGAAAGCACCCTGACTCTCCTCTGGTCTGTAACTGTTTCCATTTTTGCCATCGGTGGCCTTGTGGGCGCTATTATTGTTACCCCAATTGTGAAGTTCTTTGGACGGTAAGTGCATTGGAGAACTAGTGACTTCTAAAGCAGTTCCTAACCCAGCTTATCTAGAGATCTTTACTTGTATTTTATTTTTTAAAACCCTATTCATCTCTACCAGAATGTGAAGTTACAAAATCTCATTTCTAAGAGTTGTGAATTTCAAAGAATAAAATTAATACCTTTTCATCTGACCATACTCTGCTACATTTGAGTTAATAGAAAAGTTTGCCCAGAATTGATATCTTGTTGAGGTGTCAAAAATGTTGAATAAACAAGTGTGCAAAAGGAAAAAAAAAACATAAAATAGGAAATATTTTAGAAAAGATTGACAGATTCTTGTCCCACAAGTCTCCTAGGCATCTTAAAGTTACACAAATAAAACATGTTTCATTTATGTCTCAACAACTTTCGTTATTACACAATAGAAAAACTTTGCTCCTTTTTTTTCATCTCCTTGTGTGGACTTAAAATATGGTTTGAAGACACAGACTACCGTGAAGTTTTTATTTCTTCTTCCACTTTCTTGGTGACACATTCACCATTCTGTTCAACAAATTATTTGATCAAATCTTGACCATAGAAAATATTAATATTTTACAAATGTTCATGGTAGTGTACTTTGCATTTTTGCAGTAGGTGATAGCTAGATATTTCTCTTACATGCCATCTTCTAAAGAGTTCTAAAATTGATTAGTAATTTCTCTATATTTGGAAGGAGTTGGATAAAAAAAACTATAACATGCATCTTAGCTACTAATTTGGCTTTTCCTTAATTATAAAATTTCAATTAATTAATTCTCAAATAAGAAATTACAAATTATAAATGATTAAAAATCATTTTATAATCTCTGCTTGATTGAATTACCAAAGAAATTCATCCAAGAGTGTCATATATAAGTCTTCATCTTCACTGTTCTTACTTGCATTCCACATTTTCACTATTTCTACCACATACTTTGCATGGTACTCTGATCCTATATATCATCTCTCTAAACTCCCCCACTCTCAAATCGTCTGCTTAGATTTTTTTTCTTGGTTGCCTCTACATTTTTTTCCTACTCTTCTACATTCTTTTTCTTCTTTTTACTCCAAACAATGCCATTTCACATTGTTCCATTTTGTGCTTACAAGAAGTCACTATACTCTACTTTGTAAATCTATTATATGCTTTTCATTAACATATTTTGTCCTGTCAATTCAACATTTGATTTTGTGTTCTTTTTTTCATAGCCACTTTTTTTTTTTTTTCTTTTTTTTCTGATTGTTTGCAATTCCTATTGCCTATCCATCAATTTGCCTTTTAACACATTTATTGAATATATGAATGTCTCCTTGTGTCAGACTGTTTAATTTTTTGGAATTGCCACTGAATCATCTTTGCTTTAGTGAATTATATAAGAAATGAATTCAAAGAAGTCTCCTTTTTTAGTGTGGAGTAGAACAGGTTTGTGTGAAATTTTGTTGAGGTGGTGGCTGATGCCAATCATAAGCATACCTCTTTGATGAGAGCACATTGTATTTCCAGGGTAGAGTTCTAAATCTTTGGAAGCTCTATCCCTGTTTATGATGTTTATCCCTGTTTAGTCATGAAAACAGTGCTCTTGTCGATACAAGTAATAGTACTTGATTGGAGATTGGAAGGAACTGTATCTGTCAAAGAGATTGGATTGGCTGCTCATCAAAATGTAGTTCTTGAGTTTGCTGTTCACATTGCAGTGTACTTGTCTGGTTTAGGAAGCCAGACTGACGTATCAGTACAGTAATTGAAGAGCACACTGTGAAGTGTTGACACAACAATAAAATACTTACGTTGTTAAATGGTTCAAGTGTAGGTTGAAGAATTTTGTGCATGATGAAAGTGTGCTCTATTTATACTGACATCGAATAATGTACTAAGGGGATCAAAAGCATTAGTCAGAAATAATGTGAGACTTTTAAAAGAGAACTCTTGCCTCATGTAGCTGTAAGATTAATAACATAATTTTCAGAATACTGGATTTCTAAGCACTGCTATATTTCAAGAGATTTTCAGGGCAAGGTTTTCAAAGGGCCTTCATTCACATAAGGAGAAGTCCTATGTTCAAACAAAGCAATTAAAGTAATTTATCTAGATTATCATGGTAACTAGAATAGTGATCAGTATTCATTCTGTTACTGGCATCGACTGTTATTTAAACACAGAGTTCTTCCTATATTTTTTATACAATGTACCACATCCCCTAAGATGAGCTTCTAGAATTTTATTGCTAATGAATTTTGAGATAGTGATACTTTTTTGAGGACACTTGAATTCAATAATTTTTATAGTTGTGAGTTTCATGCAAAAAGGTTATTAATTCAAATCCCTAATTAAAAAAAAAACACAACGTGATTAATTTTTACAGCAGTGGAGGTCATGTCGTTGGTTGGATTTTGTTCTGGCTTCTGGATTTCTCCATTATCATGAGGGAAATGACAACTTTGAAATCACAAGAGACATGAAATTTTGGAAAAAAAGAACAAATTCTGATGCGGAGATTCTCAAGTCTTTTATATATATATATATATATACACATATATATATATATATATATAATCTGATGAACACATGGCTCATCTTTTATTAATATTTCCAACTAGGTATAAAACTGGAAATTCTATTTCTACAGCAGAACAGATATTTAATCTTAAGAGAGAGGCAAATTTTAGTACAAGGTTGTAAAACATATTGTTTCTCTTAGAATATAGCTGCTGCTGGAAAAAATGCTTTGTGCTCAGACAACCAAACATTTTTTGGTTGCTTCTTCCTTTTGTAATGCTCTAGACTGGAAAAAGCTCTGAATTATTTGAACAAAAAGGGGAACAAAGACATTTACATTTAAGTGAACGCTTGTCTACTATTTGTAGTGCAATATGTCACACAGAGACAGCTTATCATGAATGTGATAAATATATTTAAAAACCCAAATTATTATTTATTTAGTTATTTTTTGTCTCATTTGGGTCATTTTAACAAACAATGACTGTCTGCATTCCTGTACGTCAGGATAATGCAGTACATGGCTCACACCAGCCCAGGTTCCCTTTCCTAGATCTGACACTGCTTTGCAAGTTAGCTTTAGATTGAGTTCAGTTTGCTCCCTATTTGCCTGCTTACCTCATTACAAAAATAGGGATACTAAAATCTTCAGCAAGACTGAAATGAAGTGTGCTATGTGAGAGCTTGGTGGGCAATTTACACTTCACCAAGTTTCATGTACCATTTGAGAATTGCTTCATCAGTTTGTTGCTTTGGATGCAAAATGTATGAGTAGGTTGACCAATGAATCAGTGTGTCTTTTCTCATCATGAGTTAGCATGTTAGTGTATGAAGTTTGTGCACTTGCACTATGTAAGCGTTGTGAGCGTCTGTCTGACCAGATTGGCTGGAGTTTCCCAAGTGGAAGTGTCTGGTACAGTGTTCTATGAAGTATGGTATCATTATATTGCTTATGTTAGAGTTATATAAGCAGTATAAACAAGGGATTTGATGTATTCCCTTTTTTTGTGCCTTGTTTCTAGGGTAATACAGTTTTGCCCTATGTGATTGGGAGAGCGTGGCTAATTTATGATCATAGCAATTCTGAATATAACATGACCTGATTGAAACTAAATCAGGACAGTATGTGAAATCTGGAGAGTTTTGCTGTGTTCTTTTTCCTAGGAGATATGATGAGTGGTTACCACTGTTGGTGGCTGTGGTGGGCTGGCCCCAAGCAGCCGCTAAGGGCCCCTGAGTTGCTCCATCACAACCCAACTTGCAAACAGGGGAACAGAAGTGAGAATACACACAAGTTATATACAGGAAGGGAAATGACTTTCAAGTTACTAACATGGGCAAGCCAGACTTGAGGAGTTTAACTTAATCTGTTGATTAAAATAAATAATTAATTACTGATCAAGTAGTAGGGAAAGAAGGAAGGCAAAAATTGAAAAACCTTTCCTCCTACTGTCCCAGACTGGATGTCACTCCAGAATCCACTCCTCACCTTTGACATCACCATGGGTCACTTCAATGATCAGGGAGTCAGGGTCTATGCAGACAAGCTTAATTTTGCCCATCCTTGCTTTTTTTCTATGCTTCAGCATGCTGCTCAGAATAAATGGTCATTGGCTAACTGCTTAGAGAAGGATGCATGTTTTGTAAGCTTTTTTATTTGTTTTTATTTTATTTTTTGTTGAAAAAATAACAATAATAAGTTCAGATAAATGTATAGCACTTGTTTGACTTGACTCATTTCCATTTTTGACAGTATTTATTATCATACAAATTATATTACCCTCTAAGTTTATATCCATTTAAATGTAACAACAAAACCAGCACTCTTGACATCTGCATTATATAAACACAAATTTAAAATTAACTGTTTTTATTTCATTGTTTGAGTTCAAACAATCTTATTCAAGCAACGTTCGAACAGTCTTAAAAGAAAAAAATTATGGGAAATTTGGAAAAGTAATTTAAATATAAGTATTCAAAATACTTCCTCTTAAAAATGTATTAATCTATTGTAACCAATTGGGTGATTGGTTCAGTGGCGGAGATGATTCTGTTTGTTGCCTGTGTGCTGAATTCAAGATGGATGTTAACCTCTGTGTTACTTTTTTTCTTTTTTTTTGTCACATTTGAAAAGAAAGGGAAGATAGCTTTTCTGATAATTTCTGTTATTTTGCATAGAAATCACATTATGTATAGGCTGCAAATCCCTTGAAGATACTTAAAAATGTAATACCACTTCAGTTCTTCAGTGAAAATGGCATATTGTCAGCCTACGTAATTTACTGTCAAAATCAATGGATTTCTCATAATTAACATAATCACTGATGTTTTTCTCCACGTTAATTTTGTTGCCAAATCAGTTGTTTCCTTCATAGACTGTTGTGGATGGGACTGTAGGTTTCTGTATTGAACCATAATTCAAGACAAAAACAAAACTGCTCTTAATTAAGTGACTGCAAAACCTGGTAAAGACAGAGCTCTGTTGCTTTACTGCATAGAATCATGTAATTGTTTGACTTGGAAGAGACCTTTAAAGGTCACCTTGTCCAACTCCTCTGCAATGAACAGGGACACCTACAGCTTGATCAGGTTGCTCAGCACTCCGTCCAGCCTGACCTTGAAGGTCTCCAGAGACAGGGTTCCCACCACCTCTCTGGGCAACTTGTGCCAGTAACTCACCACCCTGATAGTAATAAACTTTTCCCTCATATCCAGTCTAAATCTCCTCTCTTTTAGTTTGAAACCATGCCCCGTCACAACAGACTCAGCTAAAGAATCCGTCCCCTTCTTTCTTATTGCCCCCCTCCAGATACTGAAAGGCCAGTATACCACACCTATGGTTCTGCTTGGGAATTTCAATCTCTGAGGCGGGGTAGATTTTCTACTTCATCTCTCAGCTGAAGATAGTTACAACAGAGCTACTGACCTTGTATCTTTAACCACACTTCTTCCATAAGTTCTGAAAGAGACCCTGCATGTCAGTGCTCAGATCTGACTGTCTGAAATGTTGAAATGCTACGTATTTTCTTTAATAAAGTGTTTTGTTCTGCAGAAGTTAAGAGACTCATGAGTCACTGCTGTATGAATGAGTCCTCAAATTTGAGCAGAAGATTCAGTAAAATGAAAACTCCAGGAAATCCATTGGCAGAGTGTAAATGAGAAAGGATTTTCTGGAATTTTTAAAATATATTTTCATGAGAAAGGATTTTCTGGAATTTTTTAAAATATATTTTCATGTATTTCTTTTTGTTTTCTTTTTTTTCATTTAATAAAGCATATATTTTTTCATAAAGAACAGCTTTGAATTTTTTTTTTTTCAGTTTGGCTATTATACAGTGAAATAATTCAAAATCTGGGGAAAAAAAAAAAGGAGATTTAAATAATTTGGTTAACTTCTAGACTTTGGGAAGAGATTGATATTTTTTCACCACTGTTGAGCCCAAGTGTCTTTTTCTAGCACTACAAGTAGTGATTTTTCTTTGTGTGTATTTGTAATTTCATTGGTTTAAATCTGAAAGTTCTCAAAATGGCAAAACTTATATGTAAAATAAAAATGCTTAAAGTTAAATTAACTTGTTGTAATTGGAAGTATATTCACTGGTTCCTACACACACAGAAATCCAGGACACATTTATTTCTGCTCATAATGCAGAGTCCCAAGCATGGCACTTGGGTTCTTAGTGTGTGTACCTTTGAAGCACAGCCCTGTTGCTGACAATGATATTGTTTATTTTAAAGCTATGCTATAGATTTGGAACTATATACATTTACATATAATATTGCGCTTTGGAACTCCACACAGTGTGTACAAAGCACCATTTATTAGGCCCTTTTTGGATTCACTTATAGCTATTTAAGTGTAATAGCCTCATATGCTTGGAATGTGACAAGATCTGTCTGTAATGGTGCTGATACCTACGTAAAGTATCTTCTCTTCTTAGGAAATGTACGCTGTTGCTTAACAACGTCTTTGCAGTGACAGCTGCAATACTGATGTCACTCTCTCAGCTGGCAGGATCATTTGAAATGCTCATACTGGGCCGCATTATAATGGGAGTTGATGCAGGTAAGCTTTTATCAACTGTACTAACTGTATCTATCAACTTTACTAACTGTAATGCCTGTACTGCATATAACCTTTCTCACCTCCATCAGTTAGATATTTCTTTGCATTAAAGAGGCATCTTGGGAACTAGGCTCACTGGGACAAAACATTAGAGCAAGGGTTGAAGTAGCTGGCATTCAGTGAAGACACTGTAATTGCCCCCAGCTGCTGGTGTCCATCTGGAGTGTTTTTCCCAATTTCCTTCCTCAACTCCCACAGCATATGCAATAAAAATCCTTTTGCGGTGAGGATGTAGCCTATTTATTAAAGCTTCTTGTTCCTGTGTGTTTGGAAGCTGTTGGATCTGATTCTAGTAGCAGAAGGAGTAAGAAGAAGGTTTAGACATTGTCATTGACTCAGTGATTCTAAGATGGTTTCACCCTATCTGTATAACTACATGAACCTAAGCAATGGAAAGTGTTTTTCTTTTGTATCATTAAACCTCAGTTCTAGCAAACTTTGGCTATGCTGTCCATAAGCATAAACTACAGTTGTTTAAATGTGGATGTGTGTTTAACTTAAATGTGCAAATTATGGGTAATACTGATGCTAGCTGTTGACCTTCGTCTCATATTTCCAGCAGATGATTGAATGTTTGGAGCATTTTCAGTATGAGACAGTATGCATAACCAGGGTCATGCATTTGTTTTCTCCTGGTTTTGAGAAGCATGCTCATCCTTGTTTCATGCCTGCTATTAAAACTTCTTTGCAGCAGTAACCATGCATTAAGAGGAACATCTGGTGACACTTTTTGTGGTAAAAACACTTCATTTGACACTGTCTGCTCTCTGGGCCTGATGTTTTTTCTTCCTTACCTGCACCAGTGTAAACTGGAATTTCCTTCTTGCTCCTCAGAAATCTTTGCTACTTCTCTTCAAATATTGGCCTGTAGAGATAATCATTCCCATGGCTGCTAAACGGTGCAAGAGTAGTTACACTCCTTTCAGTAGATGTTCATTTTGTACTTAGTATACTGAAAAGGTGGTATGACAATTTATGCTTTTTTTCTCCCCCTTCATTTGTAGGCATTTCCTTGAGTGCCCTTCCCATGTATTTGAGTGAAATATCTCCTAAGGAAATCCGTGGTTCATTGGGTCAGGTTACAGCAATTTTCATCTGTGTCGGTGTTTTCATGGGGCAAGTCTTAGGACTGCCAGAGATATTTGGGACAGTAAGTATTCAGCAGACTTCTTATCTCCACGTATTCTTTGAAAATGCAAAATACTCTGTGAGAGAATGCAAGTGTACGTAAAGAGTGATATTTTGATATTTTGACAGAGTTCCTTTTAAAAGGAGAAAACAGCTCAGTTGCTTTTTTGTTCAGAAGCACTTTGGAAAGTGGTTTCTTCTGTGCCTTAAAAGACATAGTGCGTGTGTAACTGAGTTTGGTAAATATGGCAAAAAATTTGAACAGCTCGTATGTACATATGCATGTTTTCCATGACTAGGGGAAATGGATCGAAGTTGAAGGAGGGAAGATTTAGGTTGGATGTTAGGGGGAAGTTCTATACAAGGAGAGTGGTTAGGCCCTGGAACGGGCTGCCCAGGGAGGTTGTGGATGCCCCGTCCTTGGATGTGTTTAAGGCCAGATTGGACGGGGTCCTGGGCAACCTGATCTGAATGTGTGTGTTTGGTGGCCCTGCTAGGCAGGGGGGTTGGAACTACATGATCCTTGAGGTCCCTTCCAACCCGGGTGATTCTGTGATTCTGTGATTCTGTGATTTTCCAACCCCATGCTCTTACTTGATATACATTTATTAATGCTTATTTCTGGATTCTCTCAATATCCTGGAAATGTTTGGGAGCTTTTGCATATTTTATTTACAATTCTTCAAAGTAATAACTGAAACTATTTGATTAGAAGTTGTACAAAAACCTGTCTTGCCCAGTGATTACAGCACTTCTTTAATGCACTCATACTTAGGAAATGAAGGAGAAGAATTAACATATACGTAAAGAGGATATCTGATACAGAAGGATAGCCTTGCTCACATAGGCTGAAATTAAATTAGTGGCCACTGGATGTCATCATTACTCTGAAAACAAAGTCAAGATTTATTCAGGGTGGCACTGGGAATACTTTTGGACCAGAGAAGAGTTTTCAAGACAAGGTGGAGGAAATGTCTGCAGCAATCAACTTACAATGGAACCTGAAAAAAGAATTCCTTCTGACAGCCGGCAAAAGTAGTAAATAGTTGAAAAGTGAGGAGAGTTTTTCCTCCCATCTCCACTCAAATTCATCTGCTTTGCAAACGCACCATAGCATCCTCCCTGATTTTTTTTTTTTTTGGTCTGATCAGTTCTCCAATTCTGTCTTCTTATCCTTGGACTCATTTCTCCTGTTGAGCACTCCTGAAGGGAATGTTTTGATTCAGCTTACCTTTTCAGTACACATTATTTTCTTCTCTGCTCCTTTAAGGCATCAGATCTTAGGTAAGAACTTTAGCTGGCTTTCATTTCCTTGCCTGTCTTCTACAATGTTCTTCTTGCTTTGAAAGCCAAAGTTTTACAAAAGAGTATTAAAAATGCCAAGATGCTGATTCAGCTGCTTATTGTCAGTTCTTAAGTGGTAAATTTTATTTAAAAACTAATCAAACAAACAAACCATGAATACACTTCTAAAGTTAAGGTATTGTGTGAAAATTCGTACTTCCTTGATAGATCGTTGGGATATTTTGAATAGAATTTACCTATTCCTTGTTTTCATATCACTCTTGCTTTTTTTGTTTAGGCTATCCTCTTCTCTCTCTCTCTTTATCCCTTCCAAATTAAGAAGATTGCAATTCTGCTTCTGCAAACTGGTTCGGTATACTAGTAGTTAGTATTACATCGTTGAAGTTAACAATTAGTTTCTGTAAGAGGAAATATACTTTATCTGTAAAATCATTCCTTTTCAGGATTAGTAACATCGATCTGTGAAAGGAGCTAAGTTTTGGCCTGTTTGAATTAGCATTGTTCCAATGAAATTATGGCAGTTAGCTTGAATTATCTAGTTGGGTTTGTGGGTGTATTTTCCTTTTAATAGATTAATAAAATTTAGCACTGGAGGTAGGGAACCTCGAGCTGTTTGAAATCATTTCCAAGTAGTCTTATCCTACCTTGAAGGCTCTATCTAATTTTCTGCTGGTTTCAGCCAAGCCAGGATTTTGTTCCATAGCTTTTTGTCTCCCTTGATATCAGTAAGATAGGAAAAAGCATTTGCCAGACACTTCTGTTGAAGGTGGAAGGAATCAAACACGGTATCCTTTTCAGGATTCTTCAGCTCTTGCAATACTTTCCTCCTTCTCTCCATGGCAATTGCTCTCAAACTTCTGTCACTGTATTTAATTATATTTAAAGGTACAATCAAGACTTACTGGCTGCTTTCTAGATATCAGCTTCTTGCTGATTAATATTGTGGCTTCTCTTCAGTAATGATGTGAGAGCTTATGGAATTGTTTCCAGATCACTATATTTTTCTCTCCTCTTTCTCTTGTTGGAGCAATCTCTTATACATTTGAAGTGAAGACAGTATTTTAGATCCACAGCCACTGTATTTCAGAGAGAGCTACATGTTCACAGTGTCTTAATGATTTCAGTTGTCAGTGTAGAACAAACTCCTCCTTTCCTCAGAATTCTGAAATGATTTTCATTACAACTTAGGCCAAGGCTGTAATGTGACATTCTGTGGTATAATTCTGTGCTTCTGAAATTTGTACATTTTTAAAGCAACTAGAGATGGAAGCTCCAATCTGTTGGAGCGTGTCATCAGTGATAACTTTAAGTACAACTGCTGACATTAGTATCCAGAAAAATACCTTGGTTAAGTCTGTCTAGCAATGACCTAATTTTTAATCTTGTTTTAAAACTTCACATAAACTTTTGCTGTTTTTATGGTTGTGGTATTGATGTTATTAATTATAGTATCTAAGCTGTGATGCTTTTGATGAAAGGAGGGATAAAGGAGGGATCTGGACATCTTGTTGGAAGAGGCTGTCTGGAATAGGAATTGATGTGAGAAGGGCTGCAAAAATGGCCAACTTTCCCTCTTACAAGAGAAGGTGATAAGAACATCACATGCCTGTGTGAGGAAATAAAGGAAGAGGAACTGACTGCACCTTGTTAATTTAGAAGGAAGAGCTGGAGAGGTTTGCTTAATCTCAGGGATAACACTGCTAACAAGAAGTGTTCTCTGTGAGAAACTGCTCGCTGAAATTCGCCAGAATGATGTTTGGAACAGACTCCTGGCTGAAGTAGCTTGAGCAGAAAATTTAACTTTTAAATTGGAGCTTAATGCATTTATCTGGATTATATGTGATTGTTGCCTTCAGTAGTTCTATAGAAGTCTTTCTACAGAAAAGGATTTACACAGGCTTTGGGGCATAGCCTTACCAGGTTTTATTAACTACCTAATTGGTAACTTCCTCACTTACTGAATGAAACTGTTCATTTAAATGTGGAAAAGTGATGAAAATAGATCTGAAGCTCTGAGTATTACTTGAGGCAATTCAGAAAGTGCTTACTGGTCATTGTGTCAAGTAGATTAAGCAACCCATAGTGATTTTTAACAAACTTTTGTTTATAAAACTAGTACAGGTGATGCAGGAGGCATGTCCACAGGTCCAGACTTGGTGCTGGGGTAAATGGCCTTGTTACTGCAGTCCATGAATGCAACTCTGATCTCTGTTTTTGGTCTGATCTCTGTTTCCAAGATAATGACGAAAATGTCTGAAGCACTGGAGTTAAAAAGTGAGGAAGTGCTGCCCTGTGCCACACAGTCCAATTTCCTACTTTCTACACAATTCATATCATGATTTCTCCTTCAGAAAGATTATTAAGATTTGTATTAATTTCTTTTTTCCTATTACAGCAGCCTTCCTAAGTGTTTTACTGGAAGTGCTAACGGTTGAGAATCTTCTCATTTCCTTCTTTTTACATAACCAATTCTGTCAGTTTATTTTCATTGCTCTTTTGGTCAAATATTATTAATCCTTCATATCTTTGTTTTTTTCCTCACCTGTAGAAATGGTCCCCCCTCATCACTACTAATCTTTATGTTCTTAAAATATCCCAAATATCCCAAGTGGGAAGAAACCCACAAGCATCACTGAGTCCAACACCTGGCTCCATGCAGGACCCATTCGCCAAAATTGCAGCAATGCTTCTCATTCAAGGCTTTGATTCCAATATATTATAGCCTATGTTAAACCACAACAACAGAATCTCTGTAGAGACTTGGGAAATTGTACTGTAGTAAAGCTGTCTGGTGATCAGAATACAGAGTGCAGCTACAACCAAAAAACACAAGAAAAAACAGCAACTTATTTGATGACTATTTAGGACACTTAGACGGAATTACTCATCATTCTCATGATTGAGTATGGTCCTCTAATTAATTAAAGGAGCTATATTCTTCTTGGTCTGGGTTCTTTCATTGGCTTAAACAAGAAAATAGAACTTTTTAGAGCACAGATCACATATTATTCTCCTTTAATTGTAAAACAGCTTAAGAAGTTTTTTTAAAATTTCACTCAAGTTCACACTTGACTGATTTCCAGACTGCACGGACATAGAACTATACTAAGTCCTTGAGACTCTATCTGGATGTTTGGCCCCATTCAATTCTTTAGCAACACTTAACAACAGTTGTGTCTGTCTTCTGAAGAGGCCACGTCTGGGCAGTACAAACAAGTACACTGAGATCCTCCTTGGAGAAATTTCATAATCAATTGTTATAGGGAAGGAAAGCTGATATTTGCAGTTCTTGTTGAGCTATGTGACGACCATGAAGCATGGATATCAGGAAAGGTTCTTCACCTGAGGGTGGTCAGGCACAGGAACTGGCTCCCCAGGGCAATGGTTGTGGTACCAAGCTGCCAGAGTTCCAGAAGCACGTGGACAACATTCTCAGAGAGAGGGTCTCATTTTGAGTGGTCCTGTGTGGTGCCAGGAGTTGGACTCGATGAGCTTTGTTCGTCCCTTCCACCTTGGGATACTCTATGATTCCACTGTGAGGATAATATACTCGTTTTTATTTGCCAGCATCTCATTTTAGCCTTCTGTATTCTAGAGCTGTTAATTCATCAGGAAGCCATGGCAACTGCAGATGACAACCTGATGTTGGCCCACAGGAATGGAATCATGTTATCTGCCGTAACATGAGAGCTGAATTTCTGCTACTGGCTACAAGAT